AAAATTTTTTTTTGATTACTAATATAAATACTCCAATAATCGAATAATTAGTACAGCCAATCAGAAGTGGTGGGGAAAATTAGTAAATCCATGATTTAAAACAGAATGGTTTATATTGCTTTAAAATGATTTTTATATCATGTGTTTTAAAACATCGTCACTGATGATCATACGGTCACGATTATGATTATAAATTTGAATCTTCCATCTTTTTTGACTTTTGTATCACAAATTGATGTCAAGAAACATGCATAGTTCGATTAAGAAACATAAATTTCACGGCGACACTGATACAGTAATTTCAGCTTCATCCATCAACACCATAATCAACAAATGTTTTAAAACATAAAATCAAAAAAAAGCGTTTTGTTACCATCCCTAGGCGAAGCGTAATGTCGGTGAATTGTCGGTGAATTGATTGTCGGTGAATCGTCGGTGAAATAAACTTGTCGGTGAAATAGTGAAATGTGCTGTCATCGGTGAAATAAACTTGTCGGTGAAATAACCTTGTCGGTGAAATAAACTTGTCGGTGAATCGTACTGTCGGTAAAATAAATTTGTCGGTGAAATGTACTGTCGGTGAATTGATTGTCGGTGAAATGAACGGTATCGATATATTGGTTGTGCAATCTTGCTTATTACTTGTTAATGTGGTAATTGTTTCTATTTGGACATTACAAAGCATGGAGTTACTTAATCCGAGATACATCGTCGAAACATCCGCAGGGGGTTTAACCGCGAAATACGGTACGTACGTACGTATTTTTCATTCAAAAAAGAAAATTTTCCAAAAATAATTTTTTTGAAAAAATGGTTCTGTAGATCGCACCCGTATTATATCGTTATGTGAGTATCTCGCCATAAAATTTTGATTTAGTATTAAATTCGGATATGCACGTACGTGCGTGTACATACGTACGTACCTGATACAAAGTGAAAGAATTTCAATTGAATCACATGATCGCGCCATCACTATTTTCGTAGATTTAACGGCTGATGTCAATATTAATATCAAATGATAATCAAAGATTAGATTTAAGGCACGCACATACGTATGTATATGTATGCACACATGAATAAACTTTAAAAATACTTAAGATCGATATTTCAGATAATTTGGCTTTTAATTTTTTATTACAAAACTAGGAAAAGAAATTTTAAATACATTTCAGCGAGATCAATAAACAGAAAAGTAATAAACTTTCTACAATTATGGGTGAGATTTAAAGGAATACTTCTAAATATAACATAGTATCTAAGTAATATAAACTGTACAAAAAAAAAAAAAAAAAGACAATAATGGTCTTGGTAATGTTTTGTCGATGAGTGATAAAATTATTGGCCAACGATCTCGGCGTACCACTATTAATATAAAGAACATTAATTATGTTAGAAATGTTTAAACATTACTACTCTCTGAACTAATTGATAATTTGTATACCTTATTATTTTCTTCAAAACCATCACCATCCAACAAAACCTCTTGGTTTGAATTTGAATGGCTATCTATGAACTCAATATGACTCTGAGTGAAGAGTGGTAGTTTGTTGTTAGCATGTTCCAAGATAACGATATCACCTATCGCCCAAACACCGTTGTTTTCATTGAGATAACCCGACTCTGTGGCATGTCGTCGAACAACCCAATTACAATTTGAGTCTTTTCCGGTTGACGCCCAAACTATTAATGAAAACAAATAAGTATTCTCCATTAACGTTAAGCGTTTTTACGATATAAATTTATATTATTATCGCACCATCACGTGAAGCTAGCTCGTTGGCCGCACACAGGTTCGATCGAGATTTTTCGTGACATAGGCCGATGACGGAATTAAAATGCACGGGATCTCCGGAATTTTTGTTCTCACCAGAAGGAGAGGTAACAATCCATATTTCATTTTCTCGAGGTTTCGATCCATTACAAAATACCTTTGAACGTAGGTACAAAAAAAATATATATATCTCATTATTACTATTAATTCAAGACTAAACTAAAAAATTATTATAAGAAACGTTTTACGATAATAAACATAAAACGTTAATGCATACTGTAGAATGTGGTGACCCAGGTGCAATAGGTTTATGTTCACCATGTGATAAGTATTGGCCGGTGACACAATGTTTGAGGGTAATTTTCGACCCACAACGAATTTGATGTAAAGGGTATTCATAAATGATCCCCTGGAATACTTTTATGACCCAGTCAAATTCTTCAACAGGTCGAAACTTGCTTGCTAATATATTTCGAATGTTATCATCATGCAAAGAACCTAACAAGAAAGATTTTTGTTCTTCAATGTTTGTAACGTTGGCGCTTCGACATAGTGAGAGAAAATTTGATATAAAATCAGACATATCAACGTTCGAACTATATTTTAAACGTCGAAGATTATGAAGTGCTGCTTGAGACATGACTGTGTAAGTTACATGATTTTTTAAAGCTCTTAAAAAAGCAGCAAAAGTTGATGTTTTTTCAGGAATAAAAATAATTGGATCAACTTTAAGTATAGCAAAAGAAACTATTTCTTCTTCATCGTCAATTCCATGAAGACGACAAAAGAAACGAATGTCTTGTAGCCATGATTCTGGGTCTTGAGTTCCATTATATTTTGACGGATGAACGGTTACAGCGATAAGCGGTAATTTACACGAGTTTAAATTTGAGTCAGACATTTTTATAATAGAAAAAAAAATAAAAAATAGAAAAAAGACAGAATGGGAAAATCCTACTGAATGAATTGCTGTATTATTTATAGGATTTTTACCATGCATGCAAACAGTGAAGCAGACCAAATTGGTAAATAACAAATCAGCCGAACTATGAACAATGAGCAAAAAAAGAAAGTACTAAAAAGCAAAGCCTCTCATCACTAACAATGTCGTCCTAATTCGTTATACAATCGATTTTTTGTTTCTACAAATCATTATTTTTTTTCATATATATAAACCATAAATGTTATTTGGCCAACCGGTAAGTGCATAATATGCGCAAATATGTAGTAGTGCGTGTCAAATGAATGATATTTTGGTATGTCTAGTAGATGAACGCATAGCGGATTCGATCAAATACCTCTTTTATCTTATGCTTACGCATAATGAGTCCTTCTTTCTCATCCAAAAAAAAAGAAAAACAAAAGAAAAGAATAGAATGAAATGAATGACAAAATGAAAGTTAACCTTGTGAATGAATAATGCTGCGGTAATGTAAAAAAATATATAAAAAATTTAGTTAATTTTGGTAAAATAAAGATT